TATGTTTACTTATGCACACGTACAGATGTACATATAAAGTAGGAATTATACCACACACAGTTCTCTGTAATGTGCTTTTGTTCCACTTAATGTATCACATGGTAGAGTCCTTGATTGTGGACCCAGGAGCCAGACTGCTGAAGGTGCAGACCCTGCAGTTTACTAGTTGACTTTAACCTTTCTGTATCCCAGTTTCCTAATCTATAAATGAAGGATAACGGTAGCATTAATTCAGAGTTATTGGTAGGAGTAAATGTTAAAATACATAAACTTTCTCTGCTGATGAGTATTTACACTGGAGTCTTAGGAAGGGTCCTTGCTTGTTTTCTATTCTAAAGTTGGGCTGGACATAGTAGGCCATACGGGTGCCGTCAGATGGGCTCTTGTTTCTCTGTGACCTGTTCTGTTAGACCTCTTTCCTACTTTTTTCCTTGAGGTTGTTTGTCCTCTAGTGAACCAGCTGGTTTACAGGTGGTGCTTGGCTGAGAGTGTCTTGCTGTTAACAGTTACTATGGATGTCATATGCCAACTGGTTCTGTTAAAAAAAAGTCTGAATCCAAAGCCTTGTGAATTTTGAACATTATTTTCTGTCTGGAATTTTGAAGAACTGATTCATACAGTGGAGAAATGAATAAAGATTTTTATTTTACAAATTCCAGCACAGAGCATTTTCTGTATACTGTTACTGTGACATCTATTTGGGAAACCAAAGTCTACAATTCTTTATAAGGATTCCTTTTCTTTTCTTTTTCTTTTTTTTTTTTTTTTTTTTTTTGAGACAGAGTCTTACTCTGCCACCCAGGCTGCAGTGCAGTAGTGCAATCTCACTCACTGCAACCTCCACCTCACAGGTTCAAGTGATTCTCCTGCCTCAGCCTCCCAAGTAGCTGGAATTACAGGCGCGTGCCACCACACCTGGCTAATTTTTGTATTTTTGGTAGAGACAGGGTTTCAGCACGTTGGCCAGGCTGGTCTCGAACTCCTGACCTCAAGTGATCCACCTGCCTTGGCCTCCCAAAGTGCTGGAATGACGGGTGTGAGCCACCGCACCAGGCCAGGATTCTTCTTTTAAGAGGCTGTAGTGAGCAGCATCTACCAACTTGCATCCTTGTATGTTGCATATCTTATTTGTTTGCTTGGGGGAGTAAACCAAAGTAAAAACGTCCTTTCTCAAATTAAGGACGTTCAAAGATTTTCTGTGTTAATGGATTGGAAGTCTTTACTATTCTTTTTTTTTTTTTTTTTAAATGGAGTCTCCCTCTGTCTCCTAGGCTAGAGTGCAGTGGCGCGATCTCTGCTCATGCAGCCTCTGCCTCCCGGGTTCAAGTGATTCTCCTGTCTCAGCTTCCTGAGTAGCTGAGATAACAGGCGTGCACCACCACACCCGGCTAATTTTTGTATTTTTAATATAGACGGGGTTTCACCACGTTGATTGGGCTGGTCTCGAACTCCTGACTTCTTGATCTGCCCACTTTGGCCTCCCAAAATGCTGGGATTACAGGCGTGAGCCACTGCACCCAGCCTAGAAGTCTTTACTCTTCTTAAGATGGCAGTGGTCCCCAAGTTGATCTATGGGTTCAACTCAATCCCTGTTTAAATCCCAAACTGCTTTTTTTGTAGAAATCGGCAGGCTGATCCTAAAATTCATATGGAAATCAAAAGGGACCAAGAACAGCCAAAACTATTGTAAAAGAGTAACATTGTCAAGGTTATGTTGCTTGATTTCAAAACTTATTACAAAGCTAAAGTAATCAAGACTGTGTGATACTGGCATAAGGATAACCATACAGACCCATGGACCAGAATTGAGAGTCCAGAAGCAACTGCATACTTTCACAACGCATCGATTTTTGGCAGCAGTGCTAAGACTGTTTATTGGCAAAAGAATAGGTTTTTCCACAGGTGATGCTGGGACAACTGAATATCCACATGAAAAGAATGAAGTTGGAACCTTACCTTATGTCATAAACAAAAATTAACTCAAAATGGATCCAAAACTTAAACTTCAAAACTCTTAGGGAAAAAAATAGTTATGTCTTGGATTCCGGAATGGTTTCTTAAGTATGACACCAAAAGCACAAGCAACCAAAGGAAAAAAAGATAAATTGGACTTCATCAAAATTTAGTATTTTTGTGTTTCAAAAGATGCTATCAAAAAAAAAAGACAACAAAATGGGAGAGAATATTTAAGAAACACCTATCTAATAATGGTCTAGTTTTAAGCCAAGGCTGAGTTCTTATTTCCCCATCCTTGAGTTTACATGATACTATGTTAGTGAAGTTGAATTCCGTTATTTCCACATGTATCTTGAAAGAAGTTTGTTTGGATCATGGGTCCAGGTACTTTCTCCGCCCTCTCCCTCCAAAGGATTTGTCAATCTCAATAATGTTATATACTAATTTCAAGGGGAAATACAACTTAAAATAAAATAAAACAACTCAGAAATCTGAAGCTTAAAGATGTTATGGTTTAGATGAAAAGGGAAAAGTACATTTAATTCATATCATATTTAGATGTAAAGCACTTAATGTTGTATTGCTTAACTTAGAGTGTAGCACTTCAGTGGTCTCATGTGAAGTAAATAATAGAAAATTCTTTGTGTGACACATGTCTGTTTTCAGCCAATCAGAAACCAGTATTATTTTGTACGTAATAATAGGGTTTATTGGAAGAGGAGCTACATAGATGGTAGGACTTAGAGGATGTAGGGCCCTACATGTTAGGGCTTCTTAGTTGTAGCGAAGAGCAATTGGTCTTGTACATTTAGCTTTTTCACATTTCCTTTTGAGTTCTGGCTCTAGAAATGTACAACCCCATTTTTGGAATTATAGGTTTTAAGATGTTACTTGCTCTTAATACTTCTTAAGGTAACAGCCTTGATCACTACTTTTACTTTCGATGAAATAACTTAATGAGCTGTGAAGAAAAAATTACCAGATTTTAAGGGAGAGAGAGAATTTTGTGAAAATGTCCTTGAGGCTTCTGTCTCCTTTATGAAAATGTCTTCAAAGTTTCCATCACCACCTCTACCAATTTTTCTTCCACCGGAACCAGTGGACTTAGGTTCCATAACAAGCTCTTCTTGTTCACTGAATGAGCTAGACAATATTTCCCACCTTTTAAGGAAAATATCAACTGATATCAATGAAATTAAAGGAATGAAAGCAGCTATTTTGACAGTGGAAGCAAATCTTTTTGATCTAAATGTTAGAGTGTCCCAGAATGAAGCAAAAATTTCATCTTTGGAGGTTAAAATGAATGAATATTCAACAACATCTGAATGCAACAGACAGTTTGAAGATCAAGAAGAAGATACTGAATCGCAGTCAAGAACTACTGATGTAAAAATAATCGGCTTCCTTAGAAACGTTGAGAAAGGTAAACTCTTAATATACAGTATGTTCTAGGTACCCATCCTTTGATGTTTATCTTTGCACGTATGTTGACTGTAGCTGTGATGTGGAGGGAGCAAGTTACAGAGAACTTGAATTTTTCGTAGACCTTTAATGACAAATTTGGATTCTGCGTGATTTAGCTTAGAAATCTAGAATTGATCAGAATTCCATCCTCTTTAATGGAGCTCTCTAAAACGATGTTTTGAAAAGATAGATGAACCTAGAGCAATGAAGCAAAACTTGAAATGTGGAAGTGTGGTCTTTTTTGTATCTGTGTGAAATTATTTTAAAATGTCTCATTCTTTCATCATGTACTGTTGATGTGAAGGAGACCTGTTGAGTGTTTGGATGGAAAGAGCATTCTTCCTGTAACTTTTCACCTCAGTTTTCCGAGCTTCCCACAGAAATACCACTTGACCTAAGTGTCATCTTGGTTCCAGTTCCTCAGGATGTGTGTGGTTTTGCGGTAATAATTCTGGAAGGAATTCACTTTTTTGGGATGCACCAATAAAATGTCATGTAACTTATGTTTTAAAGGAAACCAACTGATAAAATTTCAAATTGAGTATAGGTTTTAAAACTTAAAAACACCTTTTAATGAAATGTGGTGCCTGGTGGGAGATTGCCCACTTACATCTTGGCACTGAGTAAGCGAAGCCTGTCCTTGTGAAGCCACCTGTAATGGATGTACCCCAAATTAGCATGTGGGCATCTTACTAAGATTTCAGTATTTGCAACCCTATCAGTTGCATCCCTTTGTACACTGTAGTGCGGTTCCTTATACATGAGCAAGTGAGTGCCTGCTGTCTGCTAAGCACTGTGGGGGCTACAGAAAAGTGTGACATTGTCCCATCCTCAAGGAGCTTCACATCAGATTGAAGATAGAAAAAATCAGTTATTTGTCCCTATTTTGTGCAGTCAGACTGCTGAGCATATTATTATTAGGAATTGTGAACCTAATAGGAATTAATGTTATGAGCCTATTTTAGAAGAAATAAGTAGTTGAACATCTTTTCTTGTGGGAGAGCCAAAGAATTATCATCATGCTTTGCTGATGTAGGGTGTGGATTGTAGAGCTGAGTGTCTTGTTTTCTTTGCATGCATCGAAGCCCATAGTTTGTCTTTTGGGAACTCCTATGTGTAGATAATTCTGGAGTGTTTTGTTTTGCTATTTCGATGATTATCTGCAAAGGTCATGGGTGAGTGAGTCGTGATGGTAAGAGCTCAGGTGATGGAGGGAGGGGCTTGCCATGCTGATTGTGCAGTTGGCTGTGATGCGAGCTGCCGCGCCGCCAGGTGCCTTTGCCTGGGTTTTCCGCCCTTTTGCCACCTTTATTTTCCCCACAGAATTCAGATAGGAAAACTGATGTCCTCACAGAGGGAGAACCAGGAGTGTCTTACATTGGCATTTTGGTTTAACCCTGAGTACAGCCTTTTTTGTCTTATAGGATATGCGTTTGGTCTATAAATACTGTTAAATTGAATTGCTGAAGCTTTAAGTTACTTTAAAGACTTTAAGAACCCAGAAGGATTGATTTTTGGGAACCACATGCTGGTATTGTCTGTGTTGTAAGCTTAGTGAAGTTTTAAAATTTATATTCTAGGAACTCAACAGAGGCAATTATTATCCCGACTGCAAATCGACCCAGTAATGGCAGAAACTCTGCAGATGAGTCAAGGTTGGTAATGTTTCGAGTTGTACTGTAATCTAGCCGTTTCAGTTGCCATTTCCATTTCTTACACCCCATTTAACATATCTCATATCTCTTAGATCCTGCCCTAAGATGTTATGTTTAGATCTGTGAAAATATTTTAGGGCCAGGAGATAAGATCTGCATTTTTTTCATGTTATATGGTGTTAGAATTTTTTGCCTCATTGGAAAACTTTTTTCCTTTCACACCATTCCACGTGTGTCCATAGCACTGTTGGCTGTCACTCTCCTGCTGTCAGGAATGACCTGCGTTTCTGACTTACCCTCCCACTCTACCCAGCTTTTGTCATTGCCATGAGTGGCTTTTGTATCCTGTTTTTCACATGTTTAGCCTTATCCTCTTGTACTTCATTTTGGAGTCTTATCAGCAGGGCCACACCTGGAACTTACTGTTCTAGTGTTCTTAGAGCCACTCTAGTTTGCCTGTCCCCTTTCCTCTCCCCACAGACACACATGCCAAGGGCTACTTCAGGACTGGAACTGACACCTTCATTTTTATTATCTCTGTCCTCAGTGCCCAGCCCCTGCCAGATGCATGTTCAGTGTCTTAAAAATGACTGCAGGATAAACACAGGCAACCATGAGAGACCTGGAATCATCTCAGTCCTGTTTCCCCTAAGTCTGTCTTCTGTGGGAAGCTCTGGTCCCTTGACCCTCTCAGTTAGCGCCTTCCTGGAATTTCTTTCCCCTCAGTCAGGACTCCACAGTCAGTCACTCTGTTCCCTGACCCTCCCCCAGCTTTCCAGCTCAGAAAGTGTGCTTTTCCTCCCTAAGGCCAGCCTCCACCAGAGGCCACATCCCACCAGGTTGGTGAGCACTGGCATGTTACCCACTCCTCCAGCTTCATTCTCTGCCTCCTGTCTTCTCTCTGTAGAGGTGTTCAGACATTCTCTACCCATGATTTAGCTCTCATCTCCCAGGAGTGCATCCTGCTTCCTCCACAGGAGTGTTTGAAAAGGTTGGCAGCCAAGGTCTGTGTGTGGGATCCACTTCATAGCTCTTGTGCATGTTTTCTCTTCTGCTTCCTTCAGCTTCTCATTGTACACATGGTGCACGTGGTTTGAAACAGCAAATAGTTCTGTGAGGATTATGAATGGCTGCAGTGCTTAGCTCCTATCACATGTTTTATTCTAAGAACCCTTTGTTTCTGCATATTCTATTAATTTTTTTAAAAAACACACCGGTTTTGTTTTGTGTATGCAATACTTTTTATTATTTCTCTGCGAATCTGAAAGGTGGTTTTGACGTTTTTCACCTCCCTGCTTGGCCTTGTTTTCTCTAAGTGGTCTGTTTTGGCTGTCTTTTATGCTGGAGGTTTCCATCTGATGTCTGGGGATCCTCGGTGGTCTTACATTTCGAGTGGAGCACTCAGAAGCTCACTGGTATTCTGGGTTCATGAGTTGGGGCATGGGTCGCTTCGACTTTGTATTTGAAACTGGACCGTGTGGTGGAAAGTGGTTTGTCCTGTCTGTCTAGTTCATGGGCACCCTGATGTCACTGCCTATAAGACTTTCCTCTCAGCCTGGTCAGCTTCTCCAAAACAAGGTTTTTCAAGTAATAACCTGGTAGAGTTCTGCGAGCTTAAGTGGGGAAAGAAGGCTGGGAGAGGCACTTCACCATTAATTATTATGTAATGTTTAATTCTCCCCACATCATTGTCAGTCCAGTACTTCTTTCATCATGGCTGGTGTCTCTAGGTCCAGGGACTCTGTTCTTACCCTCTGAAGAGTCTAAAGCTCTACTTTCTCCAAGGGAGAATGCTTGCAATGGGTAAAGGTTTATCAGGAAATCTAATTGCCTTTAACAATTTTTAACAGTGTACATTCAGGGGATTTTGTCATAGCTTCTTTCTGGCAGAGACCCTGATGCTTCATCCGTGGGCCTCTCCGAAGATTATCTACAGGAAAGCACATCGCCAGTCGTCCCAGGTGTCTTCAGTGTAGAGGTCGGGATTGGTGTGGCAAGGATCAAAACCAAGAAAACAGTGGCCAGGTGTGGTGGCTCATGCCCGTAATCCCAGCACTTTGGGAAGCCAGGGCGAGCGGATCACTTCAGGTCAGGAGTTCCAGACCAGCCTGGCCAACATGGCGAAACCTGATCTCTACTAAAAAATACAAAAATTAGCCAGGCGTGGGGGTGTACATCTGTTATCCCAGCTACTCAGGAGGCTGAGGCAGGAGCCTCGCTTGACCCCAGGAGGCGGAGGTTGCAGTGAGCTGAGTTCACACCACTGCACTCCAGCCTGGGCGACAGAGCAAGACTGTCTCAAACAAAGAAAACAGATACATGGAATTAGAGTTGAAGAAGAACTAACTGCTTCTTAGAGGGACACATCTAACATACCTCTTTTTTGCCTGTCATTTCTCCCATTTCTTCCCAAGGTCCCTTTTACTGCCAGTTCCTGAGCCTTTGGAGAATCTTGTGGTCTGAATTGGATTGTTTCATTATTGCCTTAGAATTCAGCTTTTACAGATCCCCTGAGTTCTTAATCATCTGTTTTCCACTTTGAAAATTTCTTTTTACGGTTATTTTCTTTGTGAGTTTATGCTTTAAAAACAAAAACAAAACCCTTTATTGACATTTTTGTGGACTTTCAGGAGGGAACAAAAAGTAAATACATGGGGTCAGCCTGTGGTCTCTACTCAGAGGTCTTACTTACTCCCCGTCTGTCTGGTCTCCACGTGACCCAGGCTGCTGACGTGCAGCTTGCAGAGAGGTGTGCGGGAAGGACTGGTGCACGCTTTCCTCAAGCCTGGAGCATGCTACACTTGGGTTCCTGTACTTTCTCCAAGCTTTGACCTTTTGGCTGCCAGGACTTCACTTACTCTTTTCATTCCCTTTCATTCTTATGTATCAACTCCTCTCCTCCATTCCTCCTTAAAAGGTTAGCTTTGCTCTCTCCCGCCTTCAGCATTATTTTCATCTCTTCTGTGTTCACCCAGACTATGAACCAGTAGAACTCCTTGGTCTCCGAAAGTGCAGGGTGTTGGGAAGGAGTGAAGCAGCCCCTGGACCACATTCAGGGTCAAATCTGAATTTTCTGCTTCCTCTTAAACATGGGAGAGTCCCAGAAAGACTTTAAATAAATCTAGCATTGAAATGTATCTTTGGCCCTTTTAACTTTGCTCTTTTTCTTTTCCTAAGTTTCTCATCCCAGCTTTCTCTTCCACCTGTTTCGCTTTACCATTTATACTACCCTTGCTGGGGAAGGCAGGCGTGCCCCTTCCCAGGACGGAGCTTGTCTTCTCTTCCTGTCAGGTGTGTGATTCCAGGACAGACAGCGGAGAATCTTTTCATTCAGAGCCTCACCCTCTCTCCCGGGCAACAACAGGTCAAGGACTCTGGCTCTTTCTTAACACTTCTTCTAAAAACCAATTTGATCAGGTCACTTCCTTCCTTAGGAACCTCTCTTGATTTCTTTTCTCTTTTTAAAAAAAATTTTTTTTGGTTTGAGATGGGGTCTCCGTCTGTCACTCATGCTGGAGTGCAGTGGCACAATCCTGCTCATCGCAGCCTTGACCTGGGCCCAAGTGCTTCTCCCACCTCAGCCTCCCAAGTAGCTGGGACTACGGGCATGTGCTGCCACGCTTGGCTAATTTTATTTATTTATTTATTTTTCTGGTTGATGGGAGGTCTCACTGTGTTGTCTGGGCCGGTCTCAAACTCCTGGGCTTATGGAATCCTCATGCCTTGGCCTCCCAGAATGCTGGGATTACAGACATGAACCACCACACCAAGCCTCTTGATTTCTTGCTACTTCTAGACCAGAGTCCAGAGTCACTGAGACGTAGAAGAACCTTTATTATATGTGTCAGCTTTCCTTGCTATGCACTGCCGAGCCCACCACACACACCCTTCCAGCCATTCCACATTCTAACCTTTCTCAGATGCCTTCGACCTTGTGAAAGCCCCTTTCCTTCTGCGTGCGTTTTCCTCTGCCTGAAGTGCTGTGTTTGTTTCTCCGAGTCTCTCTCCTCGTTTATTCCTGCTCGTTCCTTTACTGCTGACTTCAGATGTTCCTCCTTGCTAAGCTTTTCCTTGGTTCTTGGCTGGAGTGGGCTGCTCTGTATTCTCAGCACCTTGTTCACATCCCTTTTGGGTCATGCTCTTCTGAAATTGTATATGTGTCTGTTTTTCTTCTTTTCTTTGTGTACCTAGCTCAGTTCTCTTAGTTGTTCAGTAAATACTCAATGAATGAACATAAATGAATGTCTTGTGAATTTTGGTCTCTAGCTTTGAAAGAAGTGTATTAACTGTAGTCCGTTGATGGCGTATTGATAGTTCAGCCATATCCATTCTGGGTTGTAGGTCTTGACATATTGTATAAAATAGTAGATGATGTGAGCTTATGGTTATTTGCATTAAAGGCCAGTGTTTTTCTTGATACATATGTTTAAGTGCCCGTTCACCTTTCAGTTCCCTTTTACAGTAGTCCTCGGTCTGTCACCAATTGGAAATTGTACCACTTGAATTCTTTTTATCAGGACATGATTCTAAGTGGTACTGTGCGAAGTGAACAAACCAGATTTTCGAAAAGTGGTTCAGCAGTCTGTGTATTCTAATTATAGGGAGCATTAGGACTCAAATTCTCTAGGTTTTTAGAAAAGACTTTTGTACTTTAAGGGTATATTGTTAATATCTCATGAGATGCCTCACCTGAGAACCTCTCTCTGCTGTGGGTAGGGAGTGTTAATCAGAATCACTGGCGCTGTGCCCTAGGCGGAAAGGACTCCTGGAGTTCTCTGAAAACATGTTCGGAATGGAATTATAGCCCTATTTTCCTGAGTGGAACCAGTTGTGATTTTCCTTTGAAATAATTTGAATATATAAAAGATTGACATTCTTCTCACATGTTTGATGTTGGGAATGTAAGGTATATTCAGAAGTAAACATTTGTGGCCAATTTTTTTGGCTCAGATTACTATGACATGGAATCCATGGTCCATGCAGACACAAGATCATTTATTCTGAAGAAGCCAAAGCTGTCTGATGAAATAGTAGTGGCACCAAACCAAGAGTCGGGGATGAAGACTGCAGATTCCCTTCGGGTACTTTCAGGACACCTTATGCAGACACGGTAGATGGTTTCTTTTTCTTGTGTAGTTAACTTGTGTGATTAGATAGTAAAGGTTAACCATTCGTTTGCAGCTTCCCTCCTCCCCGCCCCAGCCCTTAGCATAGAGTGCTTTCATTGATTCAGTAGCTAGCCAAATTCAGTGTTCAAGAATTCCAGTTCATCTTTCTTGTTCAGAAATCCATTAACCTACAAATTACAACTCCAGTGTATGATTTAACTCTATTAAGATTCTTTTCTTTATGCAAATTCAGGAAATGCAAGTTTAAAAGCCAGCTGACCATAAGCAGGTCAACTCTAAAGAGAGTTGGCAGATCAGGTTTGGGTGATTTTTTTCCCTGAGAAAACTGACTGTTTCTGTAAAAGAACCAACATACAGATAATAAATTAGCATAAATGCTGCTGGCCCTGTGTTCTGAGCATTGATGCTAATTTTTTGGTTTATTTCCATATTGACCCTGTGAAGATCAAATGGGTGATGGGGTCAGGCTTGAGGGGAGATTGTCCTTAGTGAAGTTAGTACAGGCTGGAGGGTCACTGGTGATGATGCCGCTGTGTCTGTTCATGGCCATCGTGTGTTAGCAGGGAACCCACCAGTGCTGCACCTGGAAGCCCTGCCTAGTCTTTTTTATTGAACGAAATGCAAAGCCAAGGGAGTGATAGTTCTGCTGAAGAGCACTTTAGGGGGCTCAGCGTTTTGTGTTTGTTTCCCTAATTCTATGGTATTTTTTATCTGTCTGGCAGAGATCTTGTACAACCAGATAAACCTGCAAGTCCCAAGTTTATAGTGACGCTGGATGGTGTCCCCAGCCCCCCAGGATACATGTCAGATCAAGAGGAGGACATGTGCTTTGAAGGAATGAAACCCGTAAACCAAACTGCAGCCTCAAACAAGGGACTCAGAGGTCTCCTCCACCCACAGCAGTTGCACTTGCTGAGCAGGCAGCTTGAGGACCCAAATGGTAGCTTTTCCAACGGTGTGTTGAGAGCTCAGATTTTCAGGGTGCTGTCATTGTGAAGGGAATCTTTGACTTGTTTCTCTGCCTTGAATGAATATTGGTTAAAGGCCTTGCTTTTATTTATATTCGGTAATGGCCTTTTTTCTTCTTTCAGACAAAACCACCAAGTACACTTCATACTCTTTTTCCTATGTCTGTTTCATAGGTGGGCTGTCACTCCAGTGTGAAAACGGGGTTCAGCCATGGAACCTAAGAGACCTCTTCCTTATGCTGGCTAAAGGATGAACCACCATTCTTGGTGCCTTCTTTACCTTTGTATTTTCTTCAGAAACTGTACTGCCACTTTGCCCTTTTATCGGCAATAGTCTCTTGTAATTAACTTGAGAGAAAATTTTAGATTTGATTCTATTTCTACCTCAGTGAAATTTCTTTGAAAGGAGTTTCTCCCCTAATCTGTCAAGATACTTCTTGGAACTGTTTAAATTAATGGTGAAGAGTAATATTTAGCAGAACTCAGATGAACTCTCTTCAGATAGTGCCATGGTTTTCGGCAGGTGACGGTTTCTTATCACTGTTTCTTTCACTGGGTATCAGTGGCAGCTGCAGCGCCACTGATCATTTCCATTCATGATAGAGAATGGTAATTATGTTCCTCATATCTTCTAAAATTTTTAGAAGCACCTCTTCGTTGGCAGGAGGGATAATTACGGAATTGTAAAACTGTACAGATTCAAAGGAAAAACAATAATGGATTTTGAAACATTTCCCTGAGCAATCCTCTTGGAAGAGATATGAAAATGTATTGAATACCTTTTTGATCATTAAAAATAGAATAGAGGGAAGTCATATGGTAGTGGAGCGATAGCACTGAGCTTTATTTTAACTGGTTGCGTTTCCTACTGTGAATCAATGACGTAGTGTTGTGGTTTTGATTAGTGGAGGGAGTTGAAAATCTGACCCTATCAACAGGAAGAAAAACTTAAAAATAGTAAAAGCTGCAGTAGGCAATACAGATTTCTTGACTCTGTATGTTTTGTCTAAAGAGAAGACTCCAGTGTTTTCACTACTCTTGATTTTCAATTTGGTAGCTTAATTGTTTGGTTGTTAGGATCTGGTTTCATTTAAATGTTGATGTCCATATGAGGCTTTACGGGGTATACATGTAGCAGCAGTGACACCATAAATAATATATTAGTAAAAATTCTTGCCGGTGCTGTGGCCATTGTGCTGACAGCCGTGCTGAGTGGTGAGCCTCCTTTCCCATTGCTTTGACTGGGGACTCAGTGTTCCATTGCCGCTCAAGGATGAAGCTTTGTAAGATTCGCACAGGGGTGTGGCTGGAGAGACTGTTGCAGAGCAGTTATCAGCAGCCTCTGGCCTCTGCCCACTTCCCCTGTGAGCAGGGAGTGTGAAACTGCAGTTGCTTCTGGTTGGTTTTATGTTGGGTTGTTTCAAGGATACAGCCAACAGCAACATCTGTTTTAACCTGTTGCCTTTTCACTCACTGTCATATGGCAGCACAGATTTTATAGCTTGCTTGCTTGCTTGTTTTTTTTGTTTGTTTGTTTTGTTTTGTTTTTTTGAGATGGAGTCTCTCTCTGTCCTCCAGGCTGGAGTGCATTGGAGCGATCTCAGCTCACTGCAACCTCTGCCTTCCAGGTCGAAGCCATTCTCCTGCCTCAGTCGCCCAAGTAGCTGGGATTACAGGCATGCACCATCACGCCTGGCTAATTTTGTAGTTTAAGTAGAGATGGGGTTTTACCGTGTTAGTCAGGCTAATCTCCAACTCCTGACCTCAAGTGATCCACCAACCTCGGCCTCCCAAAGTTCTGGGATTACAGGCGTGAGCCACCGCGGCCAGCCTATAGGTTTCAATAAAAGGTGAATTTGCCTCTTAAAATTTGAACAGAAAACGTTTTAATAGTTTACAAAGTCATTGTCAGCCAGTGAAGACTAGGGGCATGACCTTCATATGATTTAAATGTTTCTATCAGAAAGATAAAGTTTCTTTGTAAGGTATTATTGTAATAATCACGTTTCTTTGTAAAGTATTATAGTGTTCCTGAGTATCTAGCTACTTTACTTTCCAGCTAGGCTTCTCTTGGGTATTCCCTTAATCTTTTATTTGGACTGGGTTCTTGTGTATATATTATAGTCTGCTGTGTGTAGTTTATTATAGGAAAAGGGCAAGACACATTTACTCTGCAGGGATGACACAAAAAACATGTAAAAACTTCCAGTCATCTCAGATTTTCTTTGGAACGAAGATTATTCTGGTATCTTAGAACTAAAATGACTTTTACTGTTTTGTTTTGTTTTGAGACAGGGTCTCACTCCCATTGCCCAGGCTGGAGTGCACTGGTACAGTCGCGGCTCACTGCAGCCTCCACCTCCCAGGCTCAAGTGATTCTCCCACCTCAGCTTCCTGAGTAGTTGGTTACTACAGGTGCACACCACTGTGCTTGGCTAAGTTTTTGTATTTTTAATAGAGACAGGGTTTCACCATGTTGCCCAGGCTGGTCTGAAACGCCTGAGCTCAAGTGATCTGCCCGCCTTGGCCTTCCAAAGTGCTGGGGTTACAGGCATGAGCCACCACATCCTATTTAAAGCTTAAATAGGACTTTTACTATTTTTAAAGTAGCATAGAAAATTGTTTATATCAGGCATAGTCATAATTGCTCTTTGATGCTGCTCCTGTCTGTGCTGCATGACTGCATTTGTGTGCCTTGTTCTCCCGTAGTGAAGACAGAACATGGGTCACTGGAACAGTAAGTACTCATAGAACTAGCTGCTGCTGCTATTATGACTGGTTGTCTGTTTTGCATTTTTTCCGTTTAATCATCAGACTCTAAGGAAGACATTATTTTCTCTTTGTATAGATGAAACAGAATTCAGAGAAGTTAGCTAACATTTGCACAGAGTGTCTAGCTGAGCAACTAAGTGGCAGAGTCAGATTTTAACTGACCTCTGGCAAGAGAACTAGAGGAATATAGTTGAAGTGATACTTGCTTTCATGAACATGAGTGTGAACCATAATACATAATACCCATGATGCTATTTTGTGGGGGGTTTGTGGTGTCTCAGGCCAGAAATTAGCAGCTGATTATTGCCTGTAGCTGTAATTTTACTTATTCAGTGTTATTTGAATAAATTGCCAGCATTACAATTTCAACGAGGGCAGATTTTTGGCTTACTGAAACAGGATACAAATCTGGCAACAGGGGTCCCACTTTGCCCTGTTATAGTAATGGAAGCTGTGATTGGACGTGGCACAGGGAGTGGAGTGGATGGGTGTGTACTTGCTTTCTAGGTTGCTCCTCCCCATCTGTCCCTTACTGCATTTATCGTCTTCAGCCCAGTCAATCTTGCTATGTTAGGGGAACTGCCCAGTCCCTGTAAGTGATGGCATTTGTGACCCCATTGCAGGCAAAAATGTCTTCCCCTTTTTAGACATTGCTGGCTGGGTGCGGTGGCTCATGCCTATAATCCCAGCACTTTGGGAGGCCGAGGCGGGTGGATCGCTGGAGTCCCGGGGTTCAAGACCAGCTTGGGCAACATAGAGAAACCCCATCTCTACAAAAAATACATAAAAATTAGCCAGGCCTGGTGGCACGTGCTGCTTGGTAGGGGCTGAGGTGGGAGGATCACTTGAGCCTGGGAGGCAGAGGTTGCAGTGAGCCGAGATTACGCCACTGGCACACCACTGCACTCCATCCTGGGTGACAGAGCAGGACCCTGTCTTTAAAAAAAAAAAAAAAAGTAAAAATAGACATTGCTGAGTTTAGCACCTGGACTTTAGCTCAGCAAGTGAGAATCCTTTTGTATTTGGGCCACTCATCATCTTGCTGGCATGTGAGAATTCACATCTCCTTATCACCTTATGTGTTTTCAGCTTTTATTTAATTTTCTTGGTTCCCCACTTGACGTCCTCCTCTATGTTTAATTCAGCTGTGAATTAGTATTGAGAATTAGAATTTTTGGTGAAAACTTTGGCTTTAGTTGCAGAGTCACTGTCCTCTTTTCTTTTCACAGTGAGAACTGTTGTCTGCTCCCTGGCAATCTTTTATAGGTTTCTGTGGCCAGTGTTAATCACATAATTTGGGCTCACTTATTTTATATGACTGTACATTTAACAGAAAATTCTAAGACTGGGGTTTGAGGGAAATATGTTAAAGGTGCTGTGTACTGCATTGATCGTAACGAATGAAATACTTGTATTTCCTTTCCCTTTGTAGCTGAGATGAGTGAACTGAGTGTGGCACAGAAACCAGAAAAACTTTTGGAGCGCTGCAAGTACTGGCCTGCTTGTAAAAACGGGGATGAGTGTGCCTACCATCACCCCATCTCACCCTGCAAGTGAGTACCATCCCCCCCATCTCACCCTGCAAGTGAGTACCATCCCCCCCCCATCTCACCCTGCAAATGAGTACCATCCCCCATCTCACCCTACAAGTCATAGCCAGCTGATTTTGGCTTTCAGTTTAGTGTCTATGTCTTGCACCTTATTTTGTCTTTCTTTTCTGTGGACAAGTCTTTAGTTTTATAACTAAATTGAGTGATAATTACCATGGCCCTCTCCGGAGCAGCGTATTTCTTGTTTATGGGTGTTTGTTGAAAGGCAGGGGTGGGGGGTGCTTTGTTTGTGCCTCAGACCTATGAGATACTGAAATACCTGGGGTTCCTTAAGAATTCTGTATGTTTAAGGAGACGGGTAAATGGTAACTGCCCCAGTTTATGCATTTTGGCCACACACACTATACACAGATTTTGAGGAGTTTAGGGAAAAGTTAGTTATGGGTAATGAAAATATTTTGGACTTGGGTTAAATTTTTCCTTACAAGCCGGCTGGCTCAATGTAATGAGCTTTTTGAGATGACTTTTAGAGGCCTTTTTTTTTTTTTTTCCTGCGCAAGGGGTGGGTCCTATGGATGAAATCTTCATTTTTAACTCTTTTAAGGAAATGATGTGGGAATAATATGGCTGTACATATAAGTAGACTATGGGATGAGTCTTTTTATAGCACAAAGCCTTGCATAGAATGTTTATTGTATTAATGAATTCACTGCATAAAATATATACCTTATTAAGTGGTGTGATTTTTATCACAAAAGCCTGTCTTTCCTGGTGGCTTGGCTTGAGTTAAAAGCCTGTTTGTGTTATCCCAGGCTTTGGAATAAATGATTGTGTCCTATTCTGACATATGGTCTTATTTTAAAATATTCTTTTTGTTGCTGTTGTTTTTGCATTTCTCAAAACAAGTAGTGACAGGGAGTGTAAAGAGCCCTTATACAAAAAATAATGCATTGAGAAGATTAAATATGAAATATGCTTTTGTTTTGTAGAGCCTTCCCCAATTGTAAATTTGCTGAAAAATGTTTGTTTGTTCACCCAAATTGTAAATATGATGCAAAGTGTACTAAACCAGATTGTCCTTTCACTCATGTGAGTAGAAGAATTCCAGTACTGTCCCCAAAACCAGGTGAGTGACTTACTGTGCTACTACATTTGGGTAAAAAATATAAAATGGCATTTTGTGACTGTAAATGGAATTGAACTAACAAAAAGATGGTTTTAGAAATAATTTTGGCAGCATCAGTTAATCCAACTAGTCTTTAAAGAGCAAGTATGCCTATCTGTAGTATTCTGAAGTATTTTGACTAGTGAATATACAAACCTTACCATTCTAATTAAAAAATGGTTTTCACTCTCAAAAAAAAACATCAGTAGACTGCATTAAAAATGGACTTTCCAAACAGATTGGAGACCAGTCCTGGTTTTTATTTTGTTAGCAGTTGCACCGCCAGCACCACCTTCCAGCAGTCAGCTCTGCCGTTACTTCCCTGCTTGTAAGAAGATGGAATGTCCCTTCTATCATCCAAAAGTAAGAACTTTTATTTTCCCAAAAATCAATTTAGTGATAATGTCTCAGTTTCGTCATTACCTTCTTTTTTGTCAGAGTTACTACGTTGGTACAAAAGCAATTGCAATTTTTGCCAGTAAAATCTATTAAGTTGTTCCTTTATTGTCATTGAACTTCCATCTGGCCCCTTAGGCTAAGTGGTCTGAAACTATTTATTGTTAGTATCATAAGCACTCAGTGGGGAGAAGCATATCTTTGCTAGTCACATTTTTCATTATTCCCTGCATTTAAATATATGGGTGGGTTTTGGCGGGGGTGGGGGAGTGGTTTGGCAGAACTGAGATGATGAAATCCAGTAGGTACTGCTTAAAACCATCCAAACTTGTACTGATGGTTTTATCTGCGTGCTAAAGATTGATGATGGTTGATGAATCTCCAGATGTTTACTTGGTCAGAATGAATTATCTCCTTCTTGCCCTGGTAGCCTGAGGACCATATGAAAGGCCTTCACTTGCCCCATCTGTAACTGGGCATAGCTGAGGGTACTCAGTGAAGAGTGTAAGGGATAATTAGAAGTTTTTATGGTATGCTAAACTACGTTTGAAATTTTACTTGCTGTGATTCTTTGACTAGAATTTTTTGTCTCAGGGTAAGTACATTTTTCAAGGCTTCACTAGTATTAAAATGGTCCTTATAGATGGAATCTCTTTCTCTGTTAATGGTTAGGGTGGGCTGGTTATTGTCTCTTAAGTTGTATGTTGACCAGGTGGGGTGGGTCAGGCCTGTTATCCTAGTACTTTGGGAGGTAGAGGCAGAAGTGGAAGGATCATTTGACCCCGGGAGTTTGAAACCAGCCTAGGCAACATAGTGAGACCCCATCTCTTAAAAAAAATAAATAACCAGGCATAGTAGTACACAGCTACTTGGGAGGCTGAGGCAAAAGGTCATGCCACTGCACTCCAGCCTGGGTGACAGCGTAAGATCCTGTCTCAAATAATAAAATAATGTGTTTACTTATATTAGCCTTGTGGATGTTGTTGAAGCTCTGTTATTTCTATTCAGCACTGTAGGTTTAACACTCAGTGTACAAGACCGGACTGCACATTCTACCATCCCACCATTAATGTTCCACCACGACATGCCTTGAAATGGATTCGACCTCAAACCAGGTAAACATTCAAATTAGTTTTTCTAATGTCATTTCAAATTCTTTTTTCTAATTTGCAGTTTCTTAATTTATAAGCACACAAAATTGGAAACCAGACTGTTACTTTGAATTTTTTTCTTTGCTGTTTAATTTATACAAGGGTCCTTTGGCAAAATAATTTACTACATGGGCTAAATTTTATGTTATCCAGTGGTTACTTTTTTAACCTAGATTATCTTGCTCTGTTGCCCAGGCTGGAGTATAGTCACACTGTCATAGCTCACTGTAGCCTCAAACCCCTGGGTTCAATCGATCCTCCCACCTCAGCCTCCCACTTGTAGCTGAGACTACAAGCATGTGCCACAACACCTGGCTAATTTTTTAAATTTTAAGTAGAGAATGGGTCTTGAACTCCTGAGCTGAAGCGATATCCTTCCACCGTGGCCTCCCAAAGTACCAGGATTACAGGCATGAGCCAGCCAGATTTTAACTTCTCATTACATACTACGCAAGCATATATAATGGCCAGCAAGAGTATATATACATGTACTGTACTTGAATTTCACATCCATTTTCTTTGACATTAGCAACTGGGAAATACTGAAAGGAAGTTTCAGCAACTGGGAAACACTGAAAGGAAGTTTTAGAATATTTTAGTGTGGCCTAAAAATCTAATTACGTATGGTATTATCTTTTATCTACTTGACATAATTGAATTCTTGTAAAAAATCTGCCCTTTGTATTGTAATCCTATGACCAAATATTTATTGCCTGAAACTAGTCAGCTTTTTAAACTGAGATATATGGTATATATGGATACAAAGCAGATAATTAAAACAGTTTTTGGTTCTGTTCACTCAGCGAATAGCACCCAGTCCTGCCTGGCAGAAGATCATGCAGTTTGGAAGTTTCCATGTACTGATGAAAGACACTCTACAGAACTTGTCAAATCTTTGAAACTTGGAATATATTGCTTTCATAATATGAAGTTTTATTGCCTATCTGAAGTGTCTAATTTTTCAAGTTTGTAAGTTTATTAAGTGGTTTTAACATTGGGTGTTTTTGTTTTGTTTTTACTATGAAAAGACAGCTTAAGGAAGAGCTAAATTCTGTTAAAATATTTGGGGCATGTGTGTGCACCGCCGTTGTGAGGATCGGCATAGGAAATTGACATCATGGTTAGTAATGGTACTCAGCTTAGGGGGCTACACGGTTGCTGTGAGTGGAGAGATGCAGTGAGGCAGTTGTCATTATTCTAAAAATTGAACTGCTTTCACTTTTCCCAAAGATTATATAATGTTCATAATCCACCATGAAAACAGCATTGGCCAAAGGTACTGAGGCTGCTTAAAATATTCAATTCTGCTTTTTAATTTTTAAATGAATTTAGTTTGAAACGGATTATACAGGCCTCTCAGGCTGAGTGCTACTTTGGTAAAGTTCCCAGTTTTCTTGCCTTCTGTGACAGGATGAATGAGGTGGGTATGGACGGTGGAGACAGCTGGAATGGCAGGTGCAGAAAATAGGAACAGTTCTATACAGTGCTCTCATTTACTGATAACGTAATGCCTTCTAAATAAATATTTTGGGAAACTACATTATCACAAAATTATACAAATTTTTTTACAAGTATTTACATACGGTATCCGAAAACAGACTTTAAAGTCACAAGATTATAAATGTACATATATATTCTCACATTCTGAAAAATAACATTCTCAGAAATAGCTCCACAGAAAATATACTTAGTTACTACTGAAGATAATTTTTGAAATGTAAAAATTAGATTTAAATAGTATATTTTAAATGACAGAACTATGATTACAGAGATCAGATAGGTAAACTGCAAGATAGGATGAAACTTTTGGCCTACTGTGTTACTTACAGAGCTTTTTGTGTGTGTGGTTTTTAAAACTGTTAAGGCAAGAAGTGTCAAATGCTTTAGAGTTAAATAACAGATCACTGATTTCAAAGACTTGGTGTATAGTGTTAAAAATTAAAGCTTAAAAGGTGATTAGAAAAGTGGATTAATGCAAAAGGGGTAATAAAGACTGCAACATTCTCAGGACCAAATTAACTGGTAAAAAAAAAAAGTTCATTGACTTGCTTAGTCATATACCCAAATGATAAACCTACGTGCGCAAAGGCTCGTTTAAGATTGTCAAGCCAGCAGTCTACTGTTGTGTTGCCATTGCTTTTCCATTGGGAGAAGAAAGAATTAACCAGTCATTAAACCATTTGGTAAGTTGCACTTTGCTGCACTGATCCCACAGGAAAGGCTTGAAACACGAGAAGCAGCAAGGACAGAGCACACAAGCGCATAAGGCCGTTGTCTTCGGCTTGGGTGAAATGACAGTTCCTCTTCATTCTAAAAGTTTAATCCATTGAATTTAAGGCATTTATTCATTCCAGCATTGAGATGCTTTGCATCTCTGCAAAAGAAATTTATTTTAAATTGTTTAAATTTCTGGAAATACTTTTAGCTATCATTTATAAATGGTAAATAGTTTCATTCTCAGTTTCACTATAAAGAACAAATGGGAAACAAGGGCTTAATTTAGTTCAGCCATTTTACAAGGAAATAAAATACTAAAATCTCATTGTTTTTTGCTACTTAATAGACACTGCCCAGACACACATTTAAGAGTGTAATCTTTCAGTTGCTATGGCTTACAAACAAGCTAAGGTTGACCATAAAACATTTGTTGGATGACTTGGTCTAAAATGATCACCACAAAAAGATGGAAATGAGCACGGTTGGCGACTGGAAGCGAGGGGTACCAGAGTGCACGGTGTGCTTTGGCATGCATTTTATACATAAAACGGAACAAAAGGTGCCAGAAGTCCCAGGTTACACAATCAGGAGCTTAGATACTGCACACAAAAATAATTTGCTGGGTTAAAAAAGGTAAACATAGGGCAGATTCTATATGGCCTAACATGTTTCTTCACCTTCGCCTCGTTGCTGGCTGATACAGCGAGGTGGTCAGGGGATGACTACTTAGTCAATGTGACCTTTAGTCGTGAAACTGACAGCAGCAGTGATTAAGGCTGACTTAATCAGGTTGGCCACTTTGAAGGACAGAAATGCAGTGGAAACAGTTTTATTCTATGTAGTTTACATGCTTAAGGTTCGAGTTTCTACCTGCACTGTAATGGAAATATAATTCCTCTGTAGCCAAAAGCTGGCAAACTTGACCCAGAGGGAAAATTTAAAACTGCAACAGGCTCAAATGTAGAGGAGTATTTTTCTTTTTATGGGCAGGTTGTTCAGGGATTTTTTTCCCCCCTTTAATTTATTGACTGACTGTAAATACATGAGTAGAAACTTAATGGTCATGTATTTCAAATTTTGGCTTAATTTAGGAGAATCCATTGATGAACAAGTACCAACTTATGTTTCAAGCTTCTTAGCCCCATTATCAGTCCTTCAGCCACAGCTGTTTAGAGCTTTAAAACTACCAGGTTCAATCACTGGTTATGCTTTCTGTGATGTAATTTAGTCATTTCTATTTTTAGTATTAACCAAGTAGTAGACACAGAAAATAGGTATTAATAATCTTCATATATCCTGTCAGACCAAATGGGATTCCAGGAACCTAAAGCGATCTATTATGCTATAAAGATAATTAACACATTAAAAACTCATAGGGTCAATACAGCATCTTAAACCTCACACTTAGAAAAATATATTTTTAAATAGCAGTCTACATAATTTTCCATCTTCAGGAAACTACAGATAGGCTAGACAGCAAATTCCTGAACTCTTGAGTACTGATCTTTGGCAGCATTTAAAGTGAAAAGAAATAAGGATCTAAGAATTCAGCCCTAATCCTCTAAAAAAGGAATTCTAACTGACAAGTTTTTACAAATGGAGTTGGGTTCATTCATTTTGGAAATAAGCCTATGGAGTGGCACACATCTAGCTAAACAAATTTTCCCAATAGAAAAACTATAAAAATTTTATTCCAAGAGTGATTAATTGTATAATGTTGTATATGTGAATTTAACACTGTTTACATGTTAAACAAATGTGTGTATATTAGACTACGTTAAATATGCAATACTCTCTTCCAGTTAAATACTGTTGCTCCCTAAAACCCTGAAACTGTACACCATTGGGAATGATTGTTCATCGTACTACTTTTCCATTAGTGAGGCTACAGTTACGTTTTAAATGTTCGATTACAGAGATGGCATCTGAACATAAACTGATGGCTTGAAAATGAAAATGGAAATGTAGCAGCCATATACTGCTAACTTTGGATCTGTTCCTGAATTCAAAACTACTAGGAGAAAAGTGTCCTTTATAAAAAAGGACTTTATTAATGCCTAAAAAACATCATATTCTCCAGGAAAGCTTGTGTCTGTTTCCTTAGGGAAAATGTTTGCCTTTTAAAAACTGTGATCCTTTAGGGTGATCATTACTTTCCCTTTCCTTATGGAAATGCAAGAATAAAATATTTCATTAAACAATGAACCTTGAAAATAAAATATAAACACTAAGAAACCATTTTGCTAAAAAGATGATGAAAATTATCCAAATTGGGTTTCTGAGTTTTTCTGTAAAGAGTGCTCCACCCTAAATTTTCCCAGCAGGTCTGCCGAAATCGCACACTTCCCAGTACCGGGGGACTTGGCCTTCACCATCAAGTGTTCGATCCTTCCTTGAAATGGCATTATCTGGCAGTGTATGGATTATGGATTATACCCGGTGCATATAGCAAATATTTTGAACAGATCAGTCTTTCACTATTTTGATGATTCTGGGCATTTCTCCCTGTTACAGTCTTAGGTTAGCACCACTTGACCATGCAGGGTTGGGTTTTGGTTTTTCTTCTCTGTAATTCTGGTCTCAGGGTTAATTTGTGTAGTCATCTCAGCATCTCTCAGTGAGGCGTATGTACACATTTCCAGACAAGCAAGCTGCAATCAGAGAAGAAAATTGCAGGGAGTTAATTACGTTTTTAGATTTTCATAACAGTTTAATATTTTACATTTGAGCTTTCAAGTTACACGTGTAATATTTTTCCTCATTAACTCCTTTTATTCTGTATTTGCATTTAAGGATGAGATTCTGAAGAGCCATCTGGTTATACTACCTTCTGCAAATGTTGACTAGCTGGTTTCATAAACCAAAGCTGTAGGAGTTGTTGTATTGTCTCTTAACTAGTAACATGGTCTGCTCTTCTTCATGGGCTGAGAAAGTTACTAACCTGCAGTCATCACCTCCAGCACTAACAACATGTCGATCACCACTGGTAAATCGAATATTTGTCACGTGGGGTGAATGACCCAAGAACCTTTTGTGTTTTGCCTAAAAAACAATGACAGACAGAGCTTAGGGCATTTGGTGCACACTCACATCAAAGGATCTTATTAGGAACTGTAATCTCTATCACAAGAGCTGTGGAGAGAGTAGGGAGTTACCACTGCAGCCAGTGATTAGAATGCATTTTCAGCGTGAGTAATGGATCTGCAAAACCCGGCTGTGTGGGCAGTCAGAAGTCTCCAGGTACTCTTGACAATTTTTCTCTAAGGAAAAGCATTTGAAATTCAATAACTGATGATAGGTTTCGTGAAAAGCTAATTACCACTTTTGTAGGATAGTTCCAAAGACGATATTACTCGAGGGAGAGGATTTGTTTCTAATAGCTTTTATTTCAGAGTAAACAGATTTAGAAAGTTTGGGGAAAAATTTAGAAACTAGGACAAAACATTTTAAATATACGGGAAAAAGTGCTGATGATACGACATCAAAATTAGGAGTAAACTGATAATAGTAAACAAAACACAAACTTACAAATTTTTCTGGACATGGGAAGTCAAATAACTTAACCATGCCAAAGTCATCTCCTGTTACAAGACTGATTCCTGAATGAGATACACAGGCACAGTTGACATCAGCTTTCTCAGCATGTCTGGACCAGATTCCCAAAACCTCATCTCCTAGAATACTATAGGGAAGGAACAAAAGAAAACTCATAGCAAGTGCGGGCAGGTTGACTATATTCAAAAAGTTTCTTGGCAATTAACATACAGGAAGTAAATTATGGTAAGGCAAGTTGTTTGGAGACCTGAATTTCATCAGGATATCAACTCCTGCCTTTTAAAAATGTAATTTTATAATTTGAAGGGTTTCTAGATTAATCCTTTTAAGATTAAAGTAGCACTTTATGAAAACTGATAGAACTACTTTTATTTTTTTCTTTTTTCTTTTTTTTGAGACGGAATTTCGCTCTTGTTACCCAGGCTGGAGTGCAATGGCACGATCTCGGCTCACTGCAACCTCTGCCTCCTGGGTTCAAGCTATTCTCCTGCCTCAGCCTCCCGAGTAGCTGGGATTACAGGCATGCGCCACCATGCCTGGCTTATTTTGTAATTTTAGTGGAGACAGGGTTTCTCCATGTTGGTCAGGCTAGTCTCGAACTCCTGACCTCAGGTGATCAGCCCCCTCAGCCTCCCAAAGTGCTGGGATTACAGGCATAAGCCACTGCACCTGGCCAAAAACTGATAGCACTGT